ACAATAAACGCAGTAGAGTCTTCATAAAACTGTATTTTATTTTGGAAAAATGTTTCTTGCCATGATGAAAAATAAACTGTCAAATTATGTGTATTTTTCCTCTATAGGAATGTTATTCGAAGGATTTTGAATCAATGTATTATTGAATAAAGAAACATACAAAATCACTACATTTATTGATACTACTTACGAACTTTCTAAAAAAATTCTTCTTTCTTCTTATTTATCCACTCGTATTAAGATCACTTTCCATTTGTGTAGGAGACATTGACAAAGATATATATGGGTTTACAAAAACATCGTCTCTGATACTGTTTCACATATATTATGCGTTTTCCCCTTAAATCTGAGTTTAATTTTAATACATTTCCTAACATATTCTCAGTATTCTAGACTGGTAAAGACTATAATGCTATTTTTGTAACTATAGAGTCTATACTAAGATATCATTTTGTCATTTCTCTTGTTAAGTGGCACACTTTTGAATGCAGAGGAAGTTCGATTATTTAATTTGAAAAAGGGAAATGCTGTAAAATGAACAGAAAATTAATCCATAAGTTTCAGTCGCTCTGCCTTCTGCACACAATACGTTGGCAGGCATGTGCTTCCCAGTATGTAACTAAACCAGAGTATTTTTTCAGTATTACTTTGAACTATCTCTTCACTGTCCAGCTGACGCTGCGTCGCAGGATGAGAGGCCGACGTCTCTCAGGTCATGTTGCAGGCTTCCTCTTACGCCTGTTTTACACGGTCATTTTTGCATGCTTTTTTCATCATTTTTCTGTACAGAAAGTAGATGGAAAAGGGACGTTCGATTCTACGCGCTATGTTTCGGTGCCAAAACTGGATGAAAGTCATTCCAGCGTTTTACATGATCATTTCTGATCTTTGTAAGTAATCATCATGAAAATACTTTCTCTGGACGCCACAAAAAGCGCTAAAGATAAAACATTTGAACATCGCAGCTATGGTAACAAATTACGTTAGGTTAAATTTAGACTGAGCAGGGAACGCGGTGACATTAGAACACAGTACGTGATTTATTTCTCACTACATAATCACATCACATTATAATTAAACATATAAGAACGCTCTCGAAACTTCAAAAAGAACAAATCGCACCACACGTATGACAAACCAGAGAAAGTTCTGAAAACGCCAGAAGAGCGGTAGTCAAACTAAATGAAATCTGTACTGAAAAATGAAGCACGAGTCATTTTTTCGTACAAATTACATCCAGTCTGATCTGTATCTTTTCTGTACCGGCGAAAAATGATGAAAAAATGATCGTGTAAAACATACTGTAGGTAGGACTCGTTAGATAGGCCTTTTTCCTCGAGCCGCGGAGGCTCACGTTTACTATTCACAGAGCTTCATCTCACTATAAGCATTGCCTTATGAATATTATAGAAAAAAGAAAAATAATTGTGAAGGAAACTGTTCGGCAGAAACGAAGCAGCAGAATGGCGTTTTAAATATTTGTACACCTAATTCAGGAGAATACGTTGTTAATGTCTCCCTTCTAAAGTGGCTCACATTGTTTTAGTATTAGTTTCAGAAAAGGACTTTAGATACGCAGGTATCAGAGGTTTCGTATGATTTGAGTCGCACAATATATGGCTTCCTTCCACTCTAATATAAGAGTTGGAACACTAAACCTTCCTTCCCTTTATTTACAAAAAATAAATACGAATAAAGTAATATAAAGGTATTTAGAATATGTATAGCACACGTTGCGAAAGTTTGCTGAACGACCCCGTAAAAACATATCATCTAACCGAACACTGATCTGGATAGAGAATTGTCGTTCTGATGTGTAAAAAATCAAACAATATGTCATTTAAATATGAGTTTAATTTTAGTACATTTCCTAACATTCAGTACGCTAAGCACGATGGTTCGCTTTACATTGTATCACACGCTCAGAATAAAACTTTGATAAAGAAAACGTGTTCTGGCCGTAGTCGTGCCAACATGCTCGTCTCCTACCCAACGAGAACAGAATGAGAGGTTCCAGAGCTACGATATACGAATCATTGAGGGCCAGGAACGATTTCCTATGAGTCCGAAACCTGTGGTTTGGTTGGTTGAATCACGGATTCAACAGTAATATATCGTCTACTATTTGTCTTCTTTCATTTCCTACTAGTCACATTTTACTAATTTTGTCGCGACTTGTTCTGCCCTGAGTTGAAATCTATCGTAATCAATGTGACGTAGGATTCTATCTCGTATTGACAACATCTTCCATCTTTGAAATGTTGAAACTTCGGCCGGGATTGTCCTATTGAAATGCTACACCCGTTCACATCAACGCCGCGCCGTCGTCTGTGACGAGGTGGGCGTGGCCCGTCCGGAAGTCGGAGTGTCGCGCTCGCACAGCCAGAGCCCCTGGCGGCGAGGCGCCGTACCCAGGTCGTTGGCACTCCAAGCGGGAAATTGCTGTTGGAGGTATGCGGGCCGGAACCCTTATCCCGCGCAGTAACTTTTCAGTCGCGCGGCCGCCTCTCGCGCCGGTAGTTTAGCGCGACTCCGCCCGCTCGCTTGCCGGAGTGGCGCGCTGCCGCGGGCGGGCGACAGGCGGCGCGGCGGACGCGCGGGAGCAGGCGCGAAACGCCCCCGCTCAAGGCTTCTGGGAGACGTTACATTAGACATATGTTCTAGGTGTATCGAAAAGGTCTTGCTTTGGGCTGGGCATTTGAAAAAGTTCCTTTTAAAGATTTATTAGTTTAATTATTAGTTTATTTATTAGTTATAATTATTAGTTTATTTATTAGTTATAATTTTTAGTTTATTTATTAGTTATAATTTGCGTAGGCATTCCGGGAGACGTTTCGTAGACATATGTTCAGGTTGTATCGAGAAGACTCTTGCTTTAGGCTCGGCATTTGTAAAAGTTCCTTTTTAAGATTTATTACTTTATTTATTAGTTATAATTTTTAGTAATTTGATAAAATGCTCACTATTGCTTTCTTGCCGTTCTTCATAAGGAGGGATAGTATTGTCATCGTGCGCCGGAAATAAGCACTTTTTCGATAAATAAGTTTTTATTTCCGAGTCCTGGTAATGAAAAAGTGGATAAATCGTGTTTCAAAGGGTAGTGAATTACTTCTCTAACAAGTTGTGTGGTTAGAATTAATGTTTTGTGGGTATTTGCTACCTAAAAATTGATTGACGGCAAAAGTATGTTTGTCCCTCTGTCAGTCAGCCTCACCTTTCGCCTACCAGTCTGTCAACACGCCCTTCCGCCAGCCTGTCCGCCTGTCCTTATGCCAGTCCGTCGCCAGTCTGTCCTCCAGTCTGTCTGCCTGTCTCCGCCTGTGTCTGCCTAAACCGATCAGATAATTCCCTCTAAAACTGATCAATCGATATGAACAAGTCCGAGGCTCTACGAGTTTGAAATTGATATTTGGAGTGTTTGGAGTACATAAGTCCCCATAATTTTTTTTTTGAAATAGCTCAAATCGTTTGGGTTAAACGTTGTCCTCGGATAGTTTCAAGGAATCTTAAAAAATGGTGCAAGCCTCATTTCCGTTGAAATTTTGGAATCATCGCATATTTCAACATTTTTTTCTGTGTCTTTATACTTCCTACTGAAAATAGAGATGTTTTTACTCAAAGAAAACTGTTGTTCAAAAACATATCTTGAAATAAGGTGACGTAATTTTTTTCGAAAATATGAACTAGTTCTTACAAACAATTGCGTCAAATATAGGCAACATTTAAACAATGATTTTTCAAAAACTGCTTCAAATGGTTTCTTTAACATTTATTTGTGTATGAATCAACGAACGGTAAAATTAATGGTGCTTCTCTTATTTTCGGCAAACTCTCTGTATTTTCGAAAATTGCAAAATATTGATATTGCAAAAGTGCAGCACATAATATTTATATATTAAATGTTTTTAAATATTTTATTTTCCTAAATATTTTCCTTTAGAATAACTGACATTATCAAGAAATATAGAAATATGGCCATTGTATAAAATAATTATGTTCAGAGCGAAAAATCTTTAATGTTTATCTCTGTTTAAAATCAGTGAAGTAATTTGAAATTTTTTTGGTGTAAATAGCGATAGGAAAAATCTTCGTCATTCCCACAATGAATAAATACTTCATTTATGACTTAATAAAACGAGATATTTCCAATGGAACGTTCGTATTTTTTCAGATCTGCAATTCTTGGGCAAAGTTCGTTTGGTTAGGATGTATTATTGACTGAGGTGGAGTAAAAAGTTCATTACAAGTCCTCGAAACTTAAATTACATCTGAAAAGTCTAACGTATTAATTATTTCCCAACGAAAATTCTCATTGCAAAGTACGTTCAAAACTGAAAGTATGCGAATGCGTCTTTCATGAAACTTCGTGTTTGCTTTTTGGCTCAACTTCGTGGAGCGTTGGGGCTCTTCTGCGTCTTCTATTCACGTGGGCACTGTGTAATTTTCAGTTTTACATATTTTTTTATATTTACTCAAGAGATTGGCTTACAAAAATATTTAACACTGATTTGTTGAACACATTCACAAACAACTGATAAATTAATTGCCAAAATTAATGTATATTTGTCCCAACAAAATATTATTTTTCTTCGAGAAGTAAATAAATTAAATTTCTTGAAGAATATTTTTCACTTGGTTTCTGTATTTAATTACCTGAAAGTAAAATAATGTAAGAACTAGTGATGTGAAAACAACACAAAATTTTTCGTATTATTTGTAATTTTGCTACAGCGAAAGTTTGGGAGAGCTCAATTTTAATCGGACTAGTACCAATTTTATAAGAGTAATTCGCAGTATCCTAGAAAAATTTAAATGAAAAAATTTTATACATTCTTGAGTCATTAGAAAAATATCTTTATTTAACAGACATTCGGATAATTTGAACAGTTTTGTAGAAACGCGACTAAACATTAAATGAACGAAGTATATTTTTGTGTCACAAAAAATTTTAATTTGTCAGTCATATAGTGTCTGCATTAACTAAATTTGTGACAGTTTAGCCAACTCTTACTATTGTTGAAAATTTTTATTGCAAAGCTAATGTTGTAAGAATTGAAATTGTAGAACTTTTTTTATTGTAAAACCAATACTGTTGTGGATTCGATGTGAATACTGTAAATATTTATCATATCATTTTCAAAAACAAACGACAGTGATCCAACGTACTCTTTATCCAATTGATACTTTCACATGAATTTTGAGGCAGTGTATCTTCACACACAACGAGTATTCCTATCTTTCAGAATGCCGAAACAACGTCATGCAAAGCATTCATCCTGGGACGTATTACGACACACGCGGAATGTCCCTGCAAGTGAAATTGCGCAAAGGCATAATTCACTTTGGCCTCTATCGCAGTGGGTTCAGGTAAATGCCCATTCGCAATGCAAACATAAAAATAAGCATGACATTAACATAAAATTTAGGACCGTGTCCATAAGCGGACTCACGTAAAACGTTAACTTGAAAACTTGCAAGCTTCAAGCTTCTGTACTGATGCTTAAGTAAGACATAAGAAATGAACCAATCACAATTCGTTAACTCAAAATTGAGTATCGAAATATGATCGAAGTCGATAGACGAAATAACGCCACGTACCATGGGCCAATCGTTACCTCGAAATCGATTCTCACATCCAACCAATAGTAAACTAGAATGTCTCACAGCCAATAGAAAGTCTTATTTGCTTTATGTAAGGGATTGTGAATACTTCAGTCTATCACTTAAGTTAATGTTTACGTCCATGCGTTATGCTAATGTTTGTGTTTGCATTGTGAATGGGTCTTAACCCTCACTCAGCTCCGCAGCTCGAGCGCGTTGGATTGCGTGGGAGAGCACATTCAACGCCTTCACTCCCCCAGCCCCACCCCATCCCGCGCACTGTCACTTAAACGGTGAGATTGGTGTTTCAGGGCATCCACGACGCCTGTGACCGGGAAGTTCTACGGTTCTACTGCTGAAGGTGGCAGGTCTTTCGACACTAGCTACATAGCTAGGTCGAATGCAGACGCTCTCTATAGGAGACTACTAGCGGCCAGCCACTCTGATCGGTAGTTTTCCGTTCTTTCTCCGATCAACACCGGGCGAATTTGGAAGCAGTATCCTAACAAACGGGATATAGGCCTTACGCGATCTTTCCATCTTCTTTCTTGTTTTATCGTTACTACTTAGTTACGCAACTTCCGCTCACATGCACTACACAACCACACTGATCAGGAGTCCAGTGTGGAGCGCAGAGCATGTCTCTGGCTGGGGGAGGAGGCGGGGATGCCCTGCTGGTAAGAGAAGACTCGTTGGGGGAAATTCCCGCAAGCCGTCGTGGGTTGGCGCGGATCTCACCAACCAGCGAAGGAAGACCACCGTCACCTTCGGTGATAAGAACGTGCACTACATTCACGGAACTAATGCCATTAGAACGTATTGCACCTGGGATCAGATCAATCAATCGCTGGGATTAGAGCACGCCGCTATTTCGCTCTACGCAGATTAGAAATTTTGGTGTATTTAAGTATTATCAACTACTGATTTGTGTTCGTGGAATCATTGAGAAATTACTCGGTCACATAAAATCAATTTTCACTAGTGAAATTGTATTTTAAATGCTCTTTATATGTCGAAAAAAGTAACTTTGAATTTTTGACATCAATACCGGCCAATTTTGTGCGCAATTATTTCTAGTGCTTGCAACCTTATTTGGGATTCCATTTTTCTTTGTGCCCTAACTATATGAAAAACTATAGTTTACATGCTGGTTATTGTTGTTTATTTAAATTTAAAATATTACTGTTTATTTTTGCCAAAAAATATATTTAATTCTAACTATTTCTGCTCATGCAACTCTCATTTTCCTCTACTTTTATCCCAACCAGCACTTTTTGGAGTTCTCATTGCTTTCACTCTTACTATCTTCCTTTCCTTTCATACTGATTTACATTCCCTCTGATCTACCTCATTCAACTTTATCCTTGCCATCGTCTCGTTTCGGACGTTTTTTCTTCGTTTTAATTTTGTTTTTCAATTAATAAATCCTCATTGCTGCTGTCTCTCACGTCAGGCTTAGGCTCGTCTATATTGGCTCTTCTCCCATCGAACTTGGTGTACACTTTCATTTACGATTCTTACCTTCACCAATTATGTTTTTGCCGCATTTACTGTTATGATGTGTATTATTGTGAGTGGAAAATATCGTGTATGTTCTTTGTTTTGTGTCTATCTTTGATCCCATGTTATTAATTGTGCTCGAACAAAATTCTGTATTCACCTTCTCTTTAATTACAAGCGTTTTACAAGAATAATAGATTTTTTCTTTGACCTTCAGGATTTGTCCTTTTAATCAATAGTGATATACAAAATGAATAAAAGCTCGAGTGAGATATGTGGTGGTATATCAATGGCTTCAATTGGTGGCTGACGAAAATGAAAGATGAAAATGCCCCAGATTTACGTCGGATTTGCAGCGAAAATCTTTGCTCGACGTAGACTGGTTGCTCATCAAATCACTTCATCATCGGACTGGGCCATTGGCTCTCCCCTCGCGTCGAAAATCGGCCCCGCGCGGGGAGAGGGCGAGGAAGAAGCGAGGACAGGAGGCGCTGAAAGGACGACGCGAGGACGCAGCGCGGATTCCTTCAACGCGCCGACAGAAATACATTTTCCCGCCCAGCGAGACGCGTCTCATCTGCCCTTCCTCCCCTTCCTCCGTTCCTTCCTCCACCCCTTCCTCCTTCGTCCCTTCCTCTTCCCCTCCCTCTCCCTCCTTTTCCTCATACGTCCCTTCGTCTTCCCCTTAGTCCTCCTCCACTACTTTCTACGTACCTTCCTCCCCATTCCTCTTCCCCCCTTTCTCCTCCGCCCCTTTCTCTTCCACCCCGTCCGCCTCCTCCCCTTCCTCCTCCATCCCTTCCTCCTCCATCCCTTCCTCCTCCATCCCTTCCTCCTCCATCCCTTCCTCCTCCATCCCTTTC